TGTGAAATATTTCTGGAGTAAACCGTTTTCGAGATATTTCGGTTTATAGTGTTCGATGATGCACCGGAATATTTGAATTATTTTGAATAAAAAAGGATTGCTGTTATCTTCGTGGACGTAATTTGGTCAGTGAATGAGCAGTGCAGAAATGGATTTCTCAAAATACGTTCTGGGAGCGTACTCATCAATTCTTTATTTAAGAAATCACCACCCTGTATCTCGGAAACGGAGCAATCTCGGACTGAGGTAAGTTCCTTCAAATACAGACCTTTCAGCGACATCCTGTATAGGTCTCGTATAAATACTCATTCCTATATCTTGTAGAGTTAACGACATTTTCATCATGAATCAATAAAACATGGAATAATCAAACATCAATTTGACTACTACTACTTAAATAACTACCTCTGAAGTTTGAAAATATAAATTAAATATTGACCTCACTAATTTCGCTGTCATTAGAAAATTTACGCGCGAATAAGTACTTCTTTATTGGTAGTTATGACGGCTTTTACGAAATTAGATTTTGTTATAACTCTATTTTATATGGGGACTTTGCCTAATAAAATTGTATTGATTAACCTGTCTTATAGATGTTTTACGTAATCAAAATGTTTTACAACATTCAACTAATTGAAGATTATTTTTTTTATTTCTTGGAGTGATGGAGTGATGGAGAGCACTTCTATACTGTAACTTAACAAATTTTGGTTCTGAAATCAACATTTCTTCTAATTGAACGAAAATCTGAGGATTTTAGGAAAACCATTTTTTTTCCCAATCTTGGATTTCTTCAGAATCGACATTCAAATTGTTTCTAGGAATCTCATCGTAACTGGAAACTAGCATAAACTGTCAGGAATTGATACCTGTACTTGTAACGTTTCAATTCTAGAGTATAATTTATTCAAGGGAGTTGTGAATGCAAATTCCATAGCGGGAAATCATGAAGATATAAAGGTTGGAGAAACTTTGCATAAATAAATTGGAAACTTTTTCTGCAACAAACACGGTCCTGATGATTCAAAAACTAGGTTACATCGCAGAATATACAGGGTGGGCCAATAGTAACGCCTCGGTCTCTACAAGGCTAACCACTTTTCTTCTTTGAATTCTTCCAAATACAGGGTGGTGCAGAATTCAGAATATATGTCCCAATTAAATATCAGTAGATAGTTAATCAAAAGTTGAGATAGGGACATGTGAGCCGTTTTGACCAATTATGAATAGTTTCGACACAAAAAATTCTTGAACTTGGAAAATCTCGATTTTTAACACCGTATATCTCAGTAATTATAACTGCTAGACCCCAAGTATGATGGATTGTTGAAATCAGCTCACCAGGGAGAATCTCAAAATGAAATGATATATAGGGTTTTCGATTGAAAAAAGTTTAACTTCAGTGTTTTATGGTTTTTGGGGACACCCTGTATGTTTCGAAATAATTTCAAATGGTAGCCTATGTTGACATGCAACTTCCTAGAGGTGAAGAATTCCAAGAAGATAAGTGGTTAGCCTTCTAGAGACCAAGGCGTTACTGGTGGCCCACCCTGTATACAGGGTGGATCATAACAAGACCGACAAACTTCATTTTCAGATTCCTTTCTTGGAAAATATGTCTAACTTTCAATCTATGCCAGGAGTTCGGAATGTTTCCCGTTGTTTTCATGTAATAGAAACGTCAATAAATGATGACCTTGGTTTACGCAAATCTCTAATTTGACGAAAATATTTCGGACACCTCCACATTTGGAGTTTGAATGTTTCAATTTTGGACTCAATATTAATACTATTAGATACATTCATCAACTCCAGAATATAGTATCACTATAGCAATATCAGTCAGACAAACTCTATCTATTTGAACTCTTTATCAAAACTTTTATCTATAGAAAGGCAAAGCTTTGAAATTCCCAGTCTAAAGAAGTATTTCCAGCATTAAAAAAATAATAAATTAAAGTCCAATACCTATCTTTATCCTTATTCATGAGATTCCTTTTGGGCGCTCCAAATAGAAAAACAATCGTTAACATTTTCGCATGGGAAAACTACTCGAAAGGAGTTGAATGGGCGACATACTCATTCAAGGGACTTGATGACAGCTGTCAAATCAAAAAAATGAAATGATGATTGTCGAAAAACTCAGGTTGCTGTGATAGAAATATGTCAAACCATTGTCGATCTAAATGGAAAAGCTAGTTTGCAAGTTAGTAGGCGAGAGGAATTCGATTTAAGTCGATAATGGTGAAACTAAAAGTATTGAATTGTGTTGAACCAACAAGCTTATGATTGTCAGGAAACGAATGGGATTTGTGTTGTTGGGAATTCTTCCATAACTCACACTGTATAGTCGTCGATCCTTGAGGTGAAATGTTTAGTATACCTATCAACTTTCGTCTGTTTTATACTATTCATACCCCGAAGGCATCTTTCTGCAATGAAGTAAATCACAGGGAAATGTTATGATGAAATCAGGCCCTAAAGGTCTCTGTTTGCGATGAAATGGATTACAAGAGAATCCAGATTATGTTTTTCAGTTCTGAGAAACTCAGCAGATAGTGAAAAATTGTATGGAATTTTCTCACTCTGTATCTTTCCCTTCGGGTATTTGAATTATACTCATCAACGTTCAATATTTGCCATATCAAATCTCGACACACATCAGAAATTTTCCAACTTGCAGTGAAATCTTGGAAATCGGTATGCTGTTATGATCGATCATTTCCAATCTTTATCTATAGGAGTAGGAGCTGGAACTGGAAGTTTATTCGTCCGCGTGGTACTTCGATCGGCTATTATAGAAACACCAAATCTTGATCAACCCATAACAAACAAAAACAGTGCATATTTATCTATTATAGAAAATTTAAGCTCAAAACACAACAACAACACAGTATCTTCTATGTTATTTTTGATTCGAATTATTTTTTTATCATAATATCCACTTCAGCCTCATCATCAGAACTGTCACTACCTACTCTATATAGTGTTTCAATTTGCTTCAGCATCACTTCCTGCGGATTATTTAGTATAAAATGTGCGAGATGAGATATTATATCTATCAAAATCATATAATCCACAAGGTTTTCCATCATAAAAATACTACGATCAAAAATTCAAATTCAAATCTCTAGTGAAATCCGTCAATGAAATGTCACTAATCGCGAGATTCACGAAGTGGGCGACATCTAGGTTACATAATACGAACTTCAAACTGGGGGAAAACAAACTGTTGTCTATGAATAAAGTGCATAGACTACATTGCTGTAGCTGTAGCTGTCAAACTTGTCACTGACATGAAGTGTTATCACTCTTATCAGTACACAGTACACAAGCTGATGGCACTAATGTGATTGAGTCAGGATTGAGTTTGTTTTCCCCCAGTTTTGACGTGGCATTGACATGGAACGATGAAAACCGAGCGCCACCTAGTAACAGTGATTCCCGCGAATAGCTGCATTCATTTTTAATGATCTAGAGATTTTAGTTTGTCTACTGGCATCCCTGACATTGCTATCACGTCACATCCATAGGCGCTTCTTCTAATAATAGGTATGTACAGGGTATTTACTTGTTGAGGAAGCATATGGCGAACGAGTTTCGTAATTATGATCCGATTCTATTCAAAATTGGTATCTGGGGGTTTTCGGGGTAGGAGATAATGATTGTTTCGTCAAAATTGAAGATGACGGATCCAATATGGCGAAAGACATTAGTTTATATAATTATAACTCTACTACAAATAGAAAATATGTAGGATGCAAGAGTGAAAATAACGTGCCTATAAGTTATACTGCATATACTTAGCGTATACCTACTTCTTTGTTACTTTCATCAATGAATTATTCAAAAATGACTTCTTATTTAAAAGAGACGGAAAAAACCTATGTATATGGGGGTGAAGTATATTCTACTCTTTATTTTCCTGCACATTTCACGTATTAATTTTCATCAGTCTATAAACCTTTCGTCCTAGACGAAGTTTTATACATAGTGTGATATTATAGTAACTCCATAAATTCTTCTCCGAGTTGGATTTCTGAAAATATATTCAGCACACATGACATGAGTACAGTATTCGAGATACCCACATCGAGGTTTCCACCATTTCTCAATCATAAGGCTGAGCTCATTCAGCTCATAGATAAACTACTGCTCAGCTTGAAATCAGAATTCATTCAGTCAATTTAGTCAACCCTGGTACAGAGTCTAAGAACAGTCTCTTCTGGTAAAATATATTAAGCTTTCAGTACAGTTTATATGATCCCTAAATCGCAAATATTATGCTGGAGTAGCTAACTCTAAAACTATAGTATTGTTCATCTATATCTTGGTATAGTTGAATCAGGAATTCCATATGGAAATTACTTATGATACGCCAGTGACCTCAAAAATCAGATCAGAAATCATTTATTTGCAAATGAACCTCGAGACTTTTCAAATATTAATACGATACAAAAAATATTTCTGAAGGAAATATCTTTCTGGAAAAAAAACTGGAAGTTTCCAGTGTGACCTCTGAAAAGTTATCACCAAATTTGTACGGCAACATGAATGTTTGAAACACTTGCAGATCACTGATGTTGATCAAAAACATCTCAAAACGTGACCTTTATCACAGAACATGCCATGCCAAGAATTATGAAAATCAATCTCTTTTTATGAGCAAAATTATATTTTTGAAAAAACCTTCAACGCCGTGTACCAACTCAACAAGACGATTTCGGATATAGGTAAGTTGGCCTAAAACAACTTGTTTTTATCCCAGAAGTTCACAACCGAGCCATGTCCCAACCTTTCACAGACACCCTATATATCAATTTTGTTTTCTCCGCGCGGGTTCATTAGATGCGTCCTAGCTCTAGATACCTATATACGACCCCACTTCACTCCACGTCCGCGAATCCTTCATTCTTCTCTCGCCTTTGACGGCTGACGGACGGCCGACCCGCTCGCTCTCTCCCGCCTCTTCGCGCTCTTTGAGGTTATGTGTGTTCCAGAGCCGCCGCGCACCTCGCCGCAGCAGGACGGCGCGCTGGCGGGGCCGCCGTCGACGCCGCAACCCACGGGGGCGGCCAAGGAGGCCAGGGAGGCGGCGGACTACGAGGCGGACATGGCCGAGTACCCGCAGACCAGCTCGACGGTGAGTATTCTTGGTTAGGTGGTTGAAAACATTTTTTTCTTTCGAAAACTGTCATCAAATGTTGACATTTTCGTTAAAATCTCAGTGATCGAAGTGCCTTTCTTCTGTCACTCAGATGATGATAGTATATTTCATTACGAGTTGGAAATAGGGATTTTCCGTGCGCGCGTGTTTTAAATTTTTCGTCTAATGAAGTCATAATGACATGCACCCATCAAATGCGTATGGAAACAGCTTCTATTAGAACACGCTAAATCTATTTTTTTGAAGTTGGTAATGGTAACGTCAAACTGTCTGACACGATCATTTCTCAACCATCTGTCAAATGAGAGAATGAACATCCATGTTTCTTCATTGTTACCAACTTATTACTTCATATATTTCTAATATTCCTAACTCCTACCGACTTTGAGCTATTTTTTTTTTGTCTCATTCTGAAATATCTATATGATATGACTTATATGAACGTAGAATAACTTACCTAATACCAGGGCTATCAGTAATATTAAGGATATGATATTATTTCATGATACTATCCCAGAAAGGCTATCAAATTGGAAATTGGTCTCAACTCAATAAATGAACGATTGAATATGTCTCTTAGAAACATCATATACTGAGTATTCTGCTACACTACTTGTGATTCAGATCAGTACGTGAGTCGTTTTCTCTCTGCCCAATCCGAAAGAATTGTTTCCGCCGCACTAACAATGACATCAAAATGTTGCTCTGGTACTTTTGGTTCTATTATCACAGATTCTGTTCCTTTTTTTGCGTGGATGTTAGAATTTTCATTGCCATCCACTAACGGTGACTATGTTGTTAACATCAAAATCTATGCACTGAAGATTCAGTACTGTTCCATACAAACTTGAAACTATTTTACTGGAGCGCTCTGATTCTAGAGCAATCGGGATCTCTGCCACTTACATAATTATGTATTAGCATGGTTGAAAAATGTAATAATGTTGTTATTTCCATCCCCAAATGATTGATTCTCACAGAGTGTTTGCATAGTAATGCGATAGTGTTTCATATATTTTGAAACTGTCCGTCGTTTGCTCTCCTGACATTTCATGCCAACCCACTGAAATGTAGACATAGACAGACATACATGAACTTCATTCGAATATCGAAATGTACGCTTTTCTGAAGTAATTACAGTGCTGAAACAGAGGGAGCACCTTTCAAATGATATTGTTATATTTCCTATAGTATCACGTTCACTTTGAACTGACGTTGTTTCCAAATGAAATCCAACTGGAATATATAATTCTCACAGAGGCAATACGATTCGGTATAATATATCAAAGAACGTATGCCAACGTTACCTACGAGGTATTATCAGTACGCTTTTTATTGTTGTTCGATCTTCCTTTGCTTACCGTATCACGAACAGTCGATATGAATTCGACAGTGGAAGGAAATATGATATTTTAGATAACAATCCAGAGACTCTTTACTCCTGAACTCCCCGATAATATGGCAATGATTTCACATTATATGAAATTTGATTTGGGCGTTGAAAATAGGCTTATTTGTTCGAATCTTGAAAAAGTGTACGAATAAAAGTTGTTCCTATTTCAATTTCACACATATGTCTCGAATTTAAACGTTTTATCGTAACTTTCAGTTCTTGGCATTTTTTTATTTCTTCTGATTGTAACCTCGACGAAACTATCCTGAATTTTGGTTAGATACGTAAAATACTTTTATGGTATTTCGATATATAACTTTCGCATCATTTTAGTACTGAGAAAACCAATTTAAATAAATTTCGCTCCTGAATGATAGAAGATACAAACATAAATAGTTATTTATGCAACAAGTGCAAAAAGTGAATGTTTATTGCATTCGACGTGAAATTGTCCGACGAGGCCGTTAGGCCGAGTTGGACAACACGTCGAGTGCAATAAACAATTTTTGCACGAGTTGCATACAAAATTTTTTCTACGTTCATGCAAAAAGCAAAAAATGATTTATTGAGGTGCGGCACTAGGTACAATTCTGTTAATTGTCAGAATTAATTTTTGATTGACGTTTCTATAACCACAGTTGCATTATAGAAAATGTTTGTCATGATGACAGCACGTTGAAGTAGAATGACAGATGAGTGCAATAAAAACTTTATTGCACTAAGTGCAATAAAGAACTTCTTTTTCCACTAAATATAGTTCAATAAAGTTCTGTTTTTTGCATGAATGTAGAAAAATAAATTTGATGCGGAGATTATTATTTTCTGGAGAAAAACATATTTTTGTCGACAAATAGTGATTGAAAGTTAGTAGCATGATGAATCTATTGGAGTGAAACAGTTTTGTCGGTGTCAAATTTTTTCAATATCGCAGACATTGAAAAAATATCGAAAACTGAAAGTTGTGATGGAACACTCAAATTCGATAAACATATTAGATGAAATTGGGATAGAAACGACGTTCCTCAATAAACTTTGTCGAAATTCAAACAAATAAGCCTATTTTCAGCGATTAATTCGAAAAAATGTTAATTTTGAAATGTAGCGAGAGTCACGTGATTCCGACCGAAAAGTCCATTTCTCATATTTTCAAAGCAGAACTCAACACCAAGTTGAATTTAAAACTTATTAATGAAAGTTATGTCCATGCGATGCTAGCTTCATGAATGACAGTGCACACTGCACATAGGTTGAAAGCAATAATATATAAAAAAAAAAAGGAAAATCAGATACTGCTGCTACAATTCAATGATTTGGAGAAAAATTCCGATAGAATTACAAATCTTTCGACTGTCTCAACCTGGAGTCACTGGATGGTATTAGTTACTATTTTCCTCCAAATCATTGAATTGTAGCAGCAGTATCGGATTTTCCATCTTTTTTATATATATTATTGCTTTTAGTTAACTAGTACCATCCAGTGACTCTAGTTCGACTTAGAACCTCTTATTCCACATCTTTCAATGAGTGAGGACACGCTTATCACCACTGACATTTCGAAATTGTCATCACTCTCAAATTAAAACCGTCAGTTCTGGAAATTGAATAGGAGCTCCCGCGAAAATGTTTTCGATGATAATGTCTTGTTCAGAAACGAATTGCAATTCAAAATATGGTTTTTTCCATTTATTCAAGTTGCCCAAAGACGAGAAGACACTTCAAGTGTTCGGTGAAGCTTCCAAATTCTTATATTTATTCCATGGATGTACATTCAATGATATAACATTGATTCAACTACAAAATGAGCTTCATGTGACTTTGGTGTTACGCCACACACGTGAAATCAATCTAATTTCGTGAATAATTAATTTGACAACAGCAAATGACAGTTGTTGTCAACTCACTCTACGCGCGGACCAGGGCTGCCAGTTCAATTTTAATTGCTTCAGTAGATACCTTGTGAAAAATTCAGTAGATTTCAATAGATCTGTTCAAGATCAATTTCATGCTATACGTATTCCAAGAAAGTATATTGGAATAGACCTATGCCATCAAAACATTATGTACTTTTAGTAAACAGAAAAGTGACCTATTTCCAACAAAATAGAAACAAACAAAACGAACATTCTCTTACAAAAATAATCATATTTCCAATTCTCAATTCAAAAATATTCACAAATATTCACAAATATCACAAAATACAGTTACATAGGTATACCTATAAGATTTTTGAGTATATGAAAAATAAAAACGAACAGTAAAAATGAGCAACAAAAATACAAAACAAACAAAAAAATTGAACGTAAGAAAAAACTGTTATAACAGGGTTGCATAAAAATTTGAATTTGATCTGAATCAGATAAAGTATTGTCTCTTTTTGGTTTATACACATCTAGTATATAACATTTATTACTTATTTTGTGAAATTAATTCAAACGGAGCGTGCGAAATATCATGCATTTCATTAGTGTATGTGATTAAGTAAAGATTAATAATAATATAGGTAATTATAATATCGAATAAGTGTCAAAATATGTTTCAGTAGATTATGGAATGTTTCAGGAGATCTACTGAAAATTCAGTAGAACTGGCAACCCTGCTGCGGACGAAAAGTATTTGCGGACGAAAAGTTAGTGTCTGCGGACGAAAAGTACTTGCCTACGGAAATAGTCGGTTTTTCTTTTGGAAATTAGAACGTAAAATGTGATTTTTTGTAGAAGTCGACAAAAAACATATTTTTGGCTCATGTTTCTTGTTTAGCTGTTCTACAACTTGACAAGCGTGCTCTTATTCTTCAAAGAACGTAAAATGAGATGTTCGAGGCATTCTAGCACAACCGAACTGAGAAAAGAAACAGTAGAATTTCAAAATTTTGAAGAGGTGGACCTGTAGGAGATTGAGAGGTAGTTGAACATTTTTATTCAAAAAGATAGGTTTCCAGAAATAAAAATCGACTTGTTTATGGAAATAGAGAATGTTTTCCATCATGAGTTTAGTGAGCTTATTGTACTAGTGTATTCAATTCCGCCACTCCATTAATTCTCGTTTTATATTTCATTAATTATCTATAAAACCTGCTGCAGATCAACTGTTTTTTGTTTGACTATAGATTATCAGTTCGCTCCAGGTGGTCATGTAAATAATTATCACAGCGAATTCCGACTAATCGTCTATTGGTTATTTCGATCGATGATTGCATCAAATGTGGAGAGCATCACTCCATATATGCAAATGAAAATTCGAACCTGGACGCTGAAGGGTGAGCAATAATTTTCCAGAGCAGTGAATTTACCTTTCGCCTGAAGGGCGAATTTAAATGCCTAAAAACTTCAGTTTCCAATTACTGCGATCGCTGTATCAAGATTAAGGCGCCCATATTCATTAGAATCCAGTTATATAATTGAGAACAATCATTATTATCACAAATTATGAGATATTTATAACTACAAGAAAGCATTCAAGAGGGCTACGTTAAAATTAATGAAATTCTGTTGCGTGGGAGATTCGGTTAGAACATTTCATAAATCAGAGTTACTTATATTATGATGAGAAGATAAACCCAACATAGATGTATAGAAAGTTGAATGGTGTTATCACTTTTCCTATCGAAAGTAGTTCCGAAATCACATACTTTCTAAAAATAGCGAGGCGTGGGAGAATCTTGCTAAATTTCCGAAGTTTCAAACCAAATTTACAGGTGTCATGATCTATAAGGCACAGATCCGATCTGTCCTGGAATACTGTGCCCATATTTGGAGTGCAGCACCCAAACATACCCTGAAACTGTTGGATTCTGTCCAAAGAAGGGCAATTCGTCTTGTGGGTGATGCCTCGCTCACAAACTCACTCACTTCTCTGGAACACCGTAGAAAAGTTGGCGATCTGGCTCTATTTCATAGATATTTTCATGAACGATGCTCTTCTGAGATATCAATAATTGTTCCTCCCTTGGCAGTCCCCGCGAGATCAACCCGTCACTTCGGAGACCTACAGAACATCTCTTTCCGAAGACTCGTTTATCCAACGAACAGCGAGGCTCTGGAACATTTTGCCAAGGGAGGTGTTCCCCGAGGCATATGACCTCCAGAAATTCAAGAAGAACACCAATTCCTACCTTATTTCCCTTGGTTCTCACGATGTTCTCTTAACATTACAGGATATCCCTTTTCGTGGGAACCAGAACATAAAAAAAACATTCATTTGAGTCCACATTTTCATTTACGAAATTTCTTGTGTATATGGAAACGGTGTGTTATATTTCCGACTTTCAGTGGTGAATTCATGAACGACACGAAGTCCTAACTCCTGAAAATGTTGTCATAATAGTTTATTTTTATTTACTGACTTTTGGTACATGATGGAAGCACAATACACCCACTCAATTATCTAATATAATATCAATACCAGCTTAATAACCTACTTATGTTTTTATAAATTATCATTCATGAGCATTCATCATATTACTATTTGAAATTTGAACAAAATCATGAATATGCCGAAAACATGACACTCTTGACAGATATGTCGAATCACTATCAACGGATCAAGATCACGATCGAAATGTTTCCGCTCGGAGTATTTGTTGCGCCCTGTCTCTTCTGCGTCATGTCTCTAAATGCTTCTATTGAGCTATTATTGAATTCGTGCATCATCAACAGGACTCTTCGGGTCCCGAAAGAAGGAAAACGCATCCTTGAAAGTCTAGTTCAACTTCATAATAAGATTCGAAACGCATTTTGAAATTTTCCAAGAAATTGTCCATCGTTCACGCCATCTATCGATAAAATCTGAATAGATTTTATAATAAATGTATTTTATTTTATCTTATGACAATATTGAATGACATAAATTATCAATAACAATCCCTAACTACCACATTCAATTATTCATTATATACAGCTTGGTCCAATATTCCTACAATACCCCCTTCTGAGAACCCCCACGTTTCGAACTCGCATTCAATTGTTCATATCGAGAGTTAGTCGGACGAAACAATTGAAGAGTGGGCACACCAGAGGAATTATAAACATTCCAAACCCTACGACCCATTCTGCGTAGGTGTCAAATGAATTTGACACTCGTTTTCATTATTACAATGTGAGAAACATTGAATAATCTTAAATCCAATGTCTTCATAGTTTTATAAATTCAAATAAAATTTGGAAAATCATATTTTCGATGAGTTTAGTTGAATATGACGCACTATATTTTCACATTAAAAGTTGATTTTACTAGTTGGTAACTAAGGTTTATTACTAAAATTTCTGGAACATCAAAAACATTAATCCGTTCTCAACTATAACATCTGATATTAAAGTCCACATAGTCCAAAATGAAACTTAAAAAACATATTGTCCATGAGTATAGTTAAATATGATGCACTATATTCTCACAAAAGAAATTGATTTAGCTCATTAGTAACCAAGGTTTATTACTGAAATTTCAGGAACATTAAAAACATCAATACGTTTTCAACGATAACATCTGATATTACATGTCTCCATAGTTACAAATGAAACTGAGTGACTCAATGACTCAGTGGCCAATAGATATAAGGCGTTTCATTTTGGACGAAATAATTATCACTTATTAATTCCATTAAGTTGATAGGACCGAACAAATTTATCGCCATAGTCACCCGTTGCTTTAAGGAACGTAATCAAATACGAGCCTTCTAATTGGTTCAAATTGAATTTTCTCAGATAAATTATGAACATGAAAAAATGGATGCATAGTAATACAGGCCACAGGGTGTTTCAGAGTTGTGGTGGCAAAACCCTTGGGGCGATTCCTCTCAACAAAATATGAAGGAAGTTCACATGAACATGGGTCCGGAAATGCTTCGATTCCAAGATATATAGGATGTCCAAGTTGGAAAAAGATTGATTTTTCGTTAATATCTTGAAAAAATATTTGCCATGTCAGTTTTTCTTGAAAAAATAGCATGAGTGGGTTCATCTGAATATTTAAAAACAACTAAAACAAAACACAGGGTGACTTTTTTTCTACAAAAAAATCCGACTGGCTCGATGTGTACGCCCCTGTAAATTCTTAATCAAATCCAATCGGTCCAGTAAATGACTGATAATATACCATACAAATTTCATTCAAATCGGCTCAAGCGTTCTCAAGATATTTATAAAAAACTTTTTTTTTATTTGGACACCCTGTATCTCGGAAACGAAGCACTTTAGGACCCATGTTTATGCAAACTTTTTTCATATTTTGTTGACAATAATCGCCCCTATTATAGGATTTTGTCATCAGAACTCTGAAACACCCTATATATAGAAATATATTGAGAATTCGCATTCTCTATCTGATAAAAATATTAATTCTTTCTCGGTATATTCAACAGAATCCAACTACTTTCCTCTTTTCTGTTGAACATGGTTACCGAAAAAAATCAATATTTTTATCAGATAGAGAATGCGAATTGTCAATGTTCTTCTGTATACTTATGTATGTATCAATTTTTTCATAATATATCTGAGAATACTAACTTGAAAGATGGAAATTTTGCTTGCACAGACCTCTAATTGCCTCTTATGATCACAGATTCGTGATTGGGTTTTCTCAATACAAAATTACTTTCCACGCCCTGTATGATGAACCTCAATTCATCGTACAACTAAACAACAATCTCCTTGACCCTACAATAAAATGATGTGGAATGAAGTTTTGGCACTTAGAAGTTTATTTCCGACAGAACTTCATGGCCCTAAATTCAATTATGACACGAATTGTATGGAAACTTTGTTAAAAACATTTTCCTTCGTGGTTCTAATGAACATTAGAAGTATATAGTGGGGTAATATTTCTCATTCAGACCAACTGAATTATGGGCACGGACCTTCTTCTGACATTGAAACATTGATTCTTTTTGATCGGTACCTACTATACATTTTCAATCAGGCATGAGTGAACGAAGCTTTCTTGCTAATTGAAAAATCTAAGAAATGGCTGTCTTAGTGTCTTATTGAATATGTTTCTTTGAATCAGATATACAGGATGGGGCAATAGTGCGTCAAGGGTCCATTTGCTCGAGTTTCGTGATAGCGATAGCTGGAATCATGATTTAGAAACAAGGTCCAAGGTCTATAACCAAAGGTCATTGCTGCTTGTTCAGGACGCCCAAAAAAGAGAATCGATTGCATTTTTTCGAGGAATTTACTGTGTCTCAATCACTTCGGAACTATTTGAGATCAAAAGAAAGTAAGAAAATTTCGAATGTTTGATTTATGATCATTGCATGATTCACTCACCTCAACAGTTTCTTATGTTCTATAGAGAACAATTTTGGACGGTTTGACATTTCCTTACCTATACATATGACCTCAAAAAGTTCAAAAAAAACCAATACTAACTCTCTCTCCTTAAGTACGCACGATGTTCCTGCAATAGAGTTTCCTTTCCGTGCGCTCCCAAAGATGAGTAAATAGTGAAACGGCAGTCGTTGTCGTTGCTGACTAGTTAGAGGTAAAAGTAGGTTCATTGGAAAATTCAGCAAAGTGAAAACCGAACTCTTTAAACTTTGTCAAAGCTTTCGGAATAAGATATTTCAATCATCAGGGAGACTACAACAATCCATCATTGATTATAAAAAGCAATTTACTCACATATTTGATGAGGGTGTTTCACATTTATGTTATTGATGATAAAATTGTGTAAGACAATAATGACATAGTTGGAAAAACGAACGGAAACAGGATCAATCACGATTTATGTAAATTCCCTAATAGCACACAACGTCCTGGTACAATTCAAGTTCGAGTGTCCCGGACCTAAAATAACTGTCCTTGGGACGTCTCACCCCGTACATATCATGCAATATCCGAGCAAGGATATCAATAGAATACCCCAGCTGGTACATCATTTCAAATGCCCTAGAAATTACATCCTTTAGACGTCCCACGTGGTACATATTGTAGAAAGTCCATGTACATCCTTATTATAGCATGTCCATGAAGGAATATAATTATGAATATCATTCCTTTAGGGATATTCTTCGTATTTCCCAAGTAGTAGGTACATACATTCTGGCATGACTTCAGATCTTATTTAATGTCTCTTCTAGAACAAACATGAAATGGCCCAGACGGTACTAGAATATCATTCAGGGAATATAATTTAATAAGATGTCAGGAGTAAAACGTCTTATGGACGTCCCAAGTACGTCCTGAGAATGTCCTGAATACGATTCGGAATATGTCCTAAGGGACTTCCATTAATACATTGGCATTAGGACTTCAGATAGACATCCTATATATAAATGTCCTTCACGAAAGCCAATGATCATTTTTCCTTCCAATTTTCTAGAAATAACGTCCTACGGATGTCCCAGTCGGTACGTTTAATATTTTGTCACTGCGAATACGTTAATGGACATCCGTGTGACTTCAGTGTGATATTATAGGGTTAGTTAATTTTTAAAATGTAGGAATGCACAAATCAAACGGCTGAGTAAGTTTTGTGGGTAAAGTACTAATGTTTTTGATGTTTTAGGATAAGTAAATCTTCTTCTCTTTCAGTCAAAGAGGAATGACTGCCTGAAAGTGAAGAAGATTTACTCAACCTAAAGCATTAGTAGTACTTTGTTGCTCAATCTGTGCAATTTTTGAATCGATCCAACGGTGAACAGTCGAGATGATTCGATATTCATTGATGTAGTGAATGTCACCAATATAGGTTTTACCCCCATTGCCAATTCTACAAGTTTATAGCTGACACGATTGCTAATCGAGTAATTTATAGCACGTTGTAGGTCGAATTAGCAGCGATAAAATTCGGTCTAACCCTCAATTAAACATACCGATGTTTATACAATCTAACCGATAGTAGGAGAAAAACTAACTCACAGGAGATTTTTGCCTTCTCGAAACATAGATATGTTCTCACGAGCATTCTCACTATCTGGGAGATATAGAGGGAGCAACAAAAAGTGTTTGAATTCTAAATTTAATACCCTATATATTTCCCTATTATTTGATCTTCCGAAGAGCTTTCCAAATATACCGCACTTGATATTCTCATCTTTTTTATTTCTCCATTCATGCTCATTCAAAACTATCAGAGTCTGATCGATTTTTGAACGATTTTTATAAGTACTGAATATTCATAAGTAATAGTATAGGGTTTTCCATTTGAAATTCATCAACTTTTTGCTGCTTCCTGAATATTTTCGCAGATAGTGAAAATGTATCTGTTGATTCGAGAAGGAGAAGAAAATCCTCTGCAAGGCAATTTTTCGTTTTTCATTTTCAGACAGTGTTCTTGACTGTCTGGGGATGTCAAATAATGCTTTATTGAAATTCAAATGATTATTTGAAGTTACAATTCTGCACCTACAATTATTATTGTTAATATGTCGATTCAGTGAATATTCGATGATTATTTGTAATTTTGCTGTTGTAGGTTCGTGGTGTAGAAATAGGTATAGTCCTCCTAGTATTATTCGTGTGGGTAGCTGCGATAGCTCTGTTCTTCAACCGCTGGGGCAAGATCCGCATGCTGCTGCCCTACCAGCCCGACTACAAGCAGGAGCAGCTCAAGGTGCCCGGGACGGCCGCCTGTGCGGCCGCTGCTGGACCCCCTTGCTCGCACAACTCGGGCGACCACATCTGCCAGCAGGTAAGGGCTTTGTGCCTGTTCCAGCAAATCGTAGATGTAAATGAAAACAATTAATTTTGAGCGCTACCTTGATGCAGCGTCATTTTTCTCGAGAAAATGAGTTCTTGGAGTTCTAAACCTATTTCATCAATAGTTCTGATGAACTAAGCAGATCATTGAATGATTCAAGGAAATAAAATAGGAAAATGTGTTTTTCTACAAACGTTGAAACATGACAAGGTTCGCGCATTGATAACGAATTGCGAAGTGACACTTTTTTTCAGTTTCCTACGTTACCATGATACCTTGCACCTACTTTGCGCATTGTTATGTAAAATATATGAGATATTTATATTTCAACTTTATGGTCCTCAATCGAGCAAACATCCACGAAATCATTTATTTCTTAATGTTCAACAATCACTTTGTTTTATCTCTTGGAGCGCACGAAAGGAAATTCCTATTATGTTCGTGGAACATCGTGCGTACCTAGGCAGGAATGGGGCAGGCCTTTTAAGCCAGTTCAACACTATTTTTTATATCAAGCTAAGCATATTTTCACTTAAAAACTATATTTTTTTACGTTTGTAGAAAAAATGTTGCTTGCAACTCGAGCGCGGAATACTTTGTTCATCTCGACTATTTTTTTAACTCGGCTGATCACCAAAGTTGCATTTCGCGCACAAGATACTAAAATAACTATTCTTCGAGGGGGTAATGGATTTTTGGTACAGGCGCTGAAAAAAAATCATGTTATAGAGAGGCATAAATAAAGGTACAGTGTTGACACACTCAAGATGAAGACACCCCTGTTTTTCAGTCATTTTTGAAATTATAGATTTTATTTTTGATACAGACTCAAACCTTCATGGGCCGCATTTGACGCAATATTCAGCCTGAGTTACAGCCTTGAACCCAGGCTGCAGTGATCCGGAGAAAATGCGATTCTCGATATTTTGCTTGGCGTTGGAGATACCGAGAAAATTGTTCCGAAAAAGTTGCTTGGAAATCGATTTTCACCCAACATACCGAATCTCAACGCAAAATACGAATCCTGAATTTTGACAGATGGGCTATAAGTGAGGGAGACTGAATTGTATCAATTTACATTTGATAAAATTATTATTTTCCATTTGAGTTATTCCAATCACTCATTTCATTGATTTAAACTATTTTGTAATTCATATAGCTTTTTATTCAGAAACATTAATCGAATGTCGGACAAATATGAAAAAAAAAATTGAAAAATTCAGAATTTCAATTTTGCTGTGAAATTCGGTATGCAGGGTAATAATCTATTTCTAAGCAACTTTTCTAATCAACTTTTTTCGGTATCGTTTCCCCAACGCGAAGCGAAATATCAAAAACTGAAATACAGAGGTGTCTTCACGTTTTCGTATTCGTATTATTTCTTGCCATATCTTCGTAGTCGTTTGGAATAATCTCATCAAACCCGGCATTGTTGAATTTGTAATAATGAACTCTACTTGAATATGGAATAATATACTGGGTGTTCCTATTCAAATAGGAAAGTTGAGGTGCACTCCCGTGGACCCTGTATACCTAGGATTTATTCAATAGCATGTTTCGAGTGAGCATCATAAAATATACTGGGTGACCAAATTTCAAGTCATTGGATTGCGCCGTTGACTTTTTACAGGGGGGGATATTTTAGCTGGATCACAGTGTATATATAAAAACAAAACCAAACTTCTTTGGGCAAACAAATCACAAATCAAAACATCCAAGAACGTCTACATCTATGACCTATCTTACAAATTATTATTCTCGGAGGGAGAGGGGTAATTACTTTCATTACCCCCCTCCCCCATATCTTGAGTTCTGAACGAAATGATCGAAACTTGTCTCATATACGGTGTCATTCATGAAGGAATACAGGAGAATCGGTGAAAATTGTCGATTCTGATTGGCTCTTGAGAACGAGAGTAGAATGGTCGCTGTTCCTGTTCCTCAAAATATACTTCATCAGTTTCTGTCGTGTTAAGTTCGATTGTTGGGTATTGTTTACGCGTAAATTAGGAAGATAAGCCGTTTTAGGAGAATTTCGTCTGAAGAAACCACAAAAAATATAAAAAATTCAATTCGGCATATTATATGAAACACGAAATCATCAATAAAGGTAATTATTATTGTTGTTTATTTGTAAATTGTCAGCTTTTTTCGTAAAATTACTGATTGGTAAATGTTTTTCATTTGGAGGGTTGGATACCCGAAATGAGTTTGTGTTTGTGGAAGATAGTTTTCCCATATCACTGATATGAATTACTGTTTTGAAGTTTCAAGCCCATCAAGATCAGAGTTTCTACAAGTATACTTCTCCTTTATGTTTGAATTTTCATTTAAATACTAAATATATTCCATAGATGAAAACCCAAAGTCATCTCCACAACTTTTATTTAATGATCATAGATCATATAAGGGAACATGTTTCGGGCTTATATAAGCCCATCATCAGCCAAGAAAATGTAAAGTTCTAAAAAAGGACAGATTTGACCTATGGTATGATACAATAATATTTTACTTACATGGAAGTGAAAATTGTTGCAATATGTATACAATAAGCAATAACGGAGCAAGCAAAAGCCATTGCTCCATGATCTGGAAAAGGAACAGTGAAAATTTTTTGAAAAAATATCAATATGAGTGAAACTTACTGTTTATATGATAAAAATGTTTTTTAAAAAATTTTTAATAAAGTTGAAGGTTGGGGGTCGGGAACATATTTAATAAGGGCCCACGGTACCCTTAAATCACCGATAAGTGGTAATTAAACTTGCAAATATCAATCTTTTGTAATAAGAAAGATGTGGCTTCGGAAATAACCAAGAAAAGAATCACATGTGCGGAAGCACTGAACAGTAAAATTGTTTGTTGTCAACTGTCAAGTCAACCAGATCATGGAACAACTAGTTACATAGATAGACAGAATAGGTGATGGGGAGCAACACCATAGCACAGCACTACGTCAGATTGGCAATAAAACTGAAAACAAGATTGGTACAATCAGACATCTTACAATCCAAAAAATCTAGAAAAAAGTGTACATGGCAAATGACAATTATTTAGCAAAATTCAATGAATTGAAAAATTTGTTGCAATCATATTGAGTTTGTTCATTCAAAGAAGTTACATTATTATTATTTAATGACAAATTTATCTCATAATTTTCCAAAAGATTTAATAAACGGCCTTTTTGGCATATGTGTAGGATTTCTAAACTATTGTCAACGTTAAAACTGTGTTTGGAGTTGAGAACGTGGTCAGAAAAAGAACTTCCAGTTTTAAATACATTCAGAGGGGGAGGAAAAGTGGCTTTTTCTATGTATTTAATATGCTCATTTACTCTGGTTTGAATCCGTCTACCACTCTGGCCTATGTACTGGGAATTGCAATTGGGATGTGAACAAGATAATTTATATACACCTGGTTTATGGAGAGGGGGAATTTTATCCTTAATATTGACAAACATACGTGATATCGTGTTTGTGGTGTAGAAAGACATGTTCAGATCATCACAGAATCTAAGAAAAATATTGCTGATGTCTTGAGAAACTTTACCTAAGTATGGAATTGAAGCAAACCATCTCCTCTGATTAGTTGTTGGTAGTAAACTACGGTTAGCAAACTTGTTTAAATGGCGATTGTAAATTTTTTATCAATTAAATGAATAGGAAAACCATTGTTATGTGCTATTTGTTTAATAACATGTTCCCTTATATGATCTATGATCATTAAATAAAAGTTGTGGAGATGACTTTGGGTTTTCATCTATGAACTACACCACTCCACTTTGAGTTACCATGGACTTCTTCCAAAGATTACTAAATATATTGGTGAGTTATAATTTTATATCATTTCACAGCATATTATTTATACATTATATTTATCCGATTTGAAGGAGGATGTCAACTCTCGATTTCAGAGGATTTTTAGTTTCATGTCCTTCTGGATGTTCAACAGATATATAATTCATTGTTCGACGTGGCAAATAGCCAGGAAAGTATAGTTGTTTTCTATGAATGAATTGAGAAAGAATTATTATTTTCATCACATAGAGAATGCGAATTCTCAATGTATTTCTTCATATATATATGTATATCCATTTTGTCACGTTCATAATATGCCTGAGAATATTTTTTTTCAATAGAAATTCATCCGATAGAGAAAACTCTTGTGTTTCTACTGTTCACAAAACTATTTCATTCTAATAGCTTTTTCATGCTACTAGCTTTCAATCACTAATTATTGACAAAAATATAATTTTTTTCAGAAAATAATAACCCACGCCTCAAATCTCTGTTGTTCAATGCAGTTGATGTATCGTCTATAATTCAGAAGCGTATTTTATTGAAATTGTTTTTTTCAGTACTGAGATGATGCCAAAATCATCTATTAAAATCTCATTAAACTACTTTACGTATCTTACCGAAGATTAGCACAGTCTTGTCGAGGTTACAATTGAAAGAATGAAAAAATGTCAAGAACTGAAATTGGAATAGGAACAACTTTTCTTCGTACACTTTTTCAAAATTCGAACAAATAAGCCTATTTTCAGCGATCAATTTGAAGAACATGTAGCAAAAGTCACGTGACTCCGATTGTGTAGGCCATTTTTCATTTTTTTTGGAGCAAAACTCAACGCCCAAGTCAAATGTCATATGATGTGAGATCATTGCCATATTATCGGGGAGTTCAGAAGTAAAGAATCTCCAGATTGTAATCTGAAATATCAAATTTCCTTTCACAGTCGAATTAAAATTACAATAACGAGATAAAAAAATATGAAAAACTTCCATCTTGAATAGAAACAACTTTTCTCTGTAATATTTTCTGGAATTCGGACAAATAAGCATATTTTCAATGATTAATTGAAGAAATGTAACTTCCGACATGTAGTGGAATTCACGTAACTCCGTCCGAGTAGGCCCTTTTTTCAAAAAACTTCACGTTCAAGTCGAATTTCAAAATAAATTATCATTGAAAGTTTCTTCATATGATGCCGACTTCATGAATGACACTGTATACAGTGTGTTACGAGTAATACCCAGGAAAAT